CAATGTTGTAACTGTTTTTGAATTACCTTTAGCAAAATTTTATTTGCATGTGATTTAATGACTTTGTACTGTGATTTCTGCATTCCTTTGGATCAGCTCCCTTTGTAATAGGCACAAATATGGATCTCCTCAAATTGGTTGGTCAGATGGCTGTCTTCCAAATTTCTAGACATAAATGAGTGAGCACCTCCAGCATTGCAACTGTTTGTTGAAACATTTCAATTAGTATTCTATCATTCCTGGAGCCTTTTTTTCTTTCTTTCTTTTTTTTTTTTCATCAATGCCTTCAGTGTAGCTGGAATTCTTCCTTCACTACCACCAGTTCTTGATCATATGCTAACTGTGGAAATGGTTGAGCATTGACCATTTCTTTTTAATACAGTGACTCTGTAATTCTTCTAACTTATTTTGATGTTTTCTGCATCATTCAATATTTTGCCAGTATTGTTCTTGTTACGTGCCGTGGGGTTGGTTTCAATTCATAACAACCCTGTGTAGGGTTTCCAAGAAGCAACTGTAGAGGTTAAGCCACCAACTTGTGGTTCAAACTACCCTGGGGTCCAGTGCTTATAGTACAGTGCCAAGCCAGGACTCCATTTTGCCAGTAGAGTATTACAGTATTGCAAGTCAAGGTTTGAATTTTTTTTCTTTAGTTCTTGCAGCTTGAGAAATGCCAAGTATGTTCTTCCTTTTAGTTTTCTACCTCCAGGTTTTTGCATATTTCACTATAGTGCTCTCTTCTAGAGTTGCCCTTTGAAATTTTCTGATCAGCTCTTTTACTTCCTCACTTCAAGTTGCTTTAGCTTCTCTATGCTCAAGAGCAAATTTTAGAATCTCCTCTAATATCCATTCTGGTCTTTTCTTTCCTTTCCTTTCCTTTTAATAGCCATTGCTTATTTCATGTATGATATTCTTGATGTCTTCTTTTCTTCAGTCACTGGTGTCTAATGCATCAGATCTGTTCTTGAGATGGTTTCTAAATTCAGGTGGGATATATTCATGATAATGTTTTGGCTCTGATGGACTTATTTTCATTTTCTTCAACCTCAGCCTGAACTTGCATTTGAGCAACTGATAGTCTGTTCTGCAGTCTTCCCTGGGTCTAGTTTTGCTGATGCTATTGAACTTTTCTATCATCTTTTCCCGCAGATCTAGTCAATTTGATTCCGTGTATTCTATCTTGTGAGGTCTACGTATATGTACCATCACCTTGTATGGATTGAAAAAAGATATTTGCAATGAGTAAGTTACTATTCTTGTAAAATTCTATTATGTGATCTCCAGCATAGTTTCCATCACCAAGGTTGTATTTTCCAACTCTTGATCCTAACTCTTTTTCACCCCCAACTTTCACATTCAAATCACCAGTAAATATCAGTGCATCTTGATTACCTGTTTGATAGATTTTAGACTGAAGAATTTGGTAGAATTCTTCAATTTCATCATCACTGGCTTTAGTGGTTTGTGCATAAGTTTGAATAATAGTGTATTAACTGGTCTTCCTTGTAGGTGTATGGACATTTTTCTATCACAGACAGCATTGTACTTCAAGAAAGATCTTGAAATACACTATGTCAATGAATGCAATGTCATTCCTCTTCAATTTGTCATTCCCAGCGTAGTAAACAATATGATTGTCAGATTCAATCATACGCCAAAAGCAGTCCATTTTAGCTTACTAAGTCCTAAGATGTAGATCTTTATGTGTTCTATTTCATTTTTTTAATTTCCAGTTTTCCCAGATTCACACTTTGTACATTCCAAGTTCCAATTACTAATGGATGTTTGCAGCTGTTTCTCATCATTTTCAGTTACGCCCCACCTGCAAATAAAGGTCTCAAAAATGTTGCTCCATTTGAGTCATCATGGCTAACTCTACTTAATGGAAGCAGCAATACCCCAGTCATATTTTGAGTGCCTTCCAACCTGAGGTGCTCATCTTCCAGTAATAAATCTGATAGTGTTCCACTGCTATTTATAAAGTTTTCAGTGACTAACCATTCAGGAGTTCTTCTAATCTGCCTTAGTCTAGATACTATCCACTGTTGGTGACCCTGCTGTCTACAATACTGGTGGTATAGCTTTTAGCACTACAGCAATAAGCCACTACACTGGTACAAACTGACAGATGAATAGTAGTCATAGGGAATATTCAAGGATTGTGTGTGTGTGTGTGTGGTGTTTTGTCTTGTTTTGTTATCAGGGTTATATTTGTTTCATAGAAGAAATATAGGACTATTCCTTCCTTCTCCTTTTATTGGAATAGTTTAAACAAGATTATTGTCAATTATTCTCTAAAAGTTTGGTAGAATTCCCCAGTGACATCATCAGGTCCCAGACTTTTTTGTGCTGGGAAGTAGTTTTTGATTATTGATTCAATCTCCTCACTAGTTACAGGTCTGTTAAGATTTTGTATTTCCTCTTGAGTCACTTTGGATAGCTTTTAAGAAGTTGTTCATTATATCTAATTTATCCAGTTTGTTACTGTACAGTTTTTCAAATATTTTATAATAATTTCTTGATGTCTAGCATATCAGTTGTAATGACCCCTCTTACATTTCTTATTTTTGTTATTTGCATCTTTTCTCTCTCTCTCTTCTTTTGTCTATCAGTGTAGACAAAAGTTTGTTAGTTTTATTGATCTTTACAAAGTCCAAAAAAGAGCCAACTTCTGGTTTTGTTGATTCTCTCTATTATTTTTTGGTTTTTGACATAATAATGTCAAAATATCCATATTCTGGCACTTGTCATTTCCTTTCTTCTGGTAGATTAGGCTGTTGATTTTAAATCTTGCTTCTGATTTCATGTAATAATAGCATTTATTGCTTCTAAATTCCCCTCGACTGCCTTTACTACATCTACATTTGTTGGTATGTTTTGCTTTCATTTTCATTTTATACTTAGAAATTTGTGATTTCTGTTTTGATTACTTACTTGATTTCTTGATTTTGATTTATTATTTAGCATGGTAGTTTAGTAGTTTGTTTTTCAAATCTTCACTGAATTTTAATTTTACTGACCTCATTTTCCTTTTTTAGAAAAGATTCATTCTTCATCAAATTTTTGTATTTTGTTTTTTTAAGCGATATCATAGAAACTGGAGCTTGTTCATTGTGGCCTCTATTAATTTTTTTAACCCCTTTAGCAACTTAGTATATATTTATTTTACCATAAACAACTTAAAACATATTTATTTTACTGCTGTCCTTGAATAAATTCTGACTTATAGTGACCCTATGTAGAGCTTCTGATGCTATAAATCTTTACAGGAGCAGAAAGCCTCTTCTTTCTCTCGAAGAGCAGCTAGTAAATTTGAATTACTGACCCAATAGTTAACAGCCCGAAGTGAAACCCATTACATCACATGGGTTCTCTTATTTTAACTTAGGTTTTAATGATTTCATTTAGAAAAGTTTAGATCATAAGTGTATAGCTGGAAGCATTTCCACAAAATGGACATTCCCTTGTAAACTAGCACTAGATAAAGAAAAGAAAAAAAAATTCCAGAAACTCAGAAGTGTTGTCATATTGTCTTCTAGTCATGTTCCCCTCCTTCCAGGGTAACTAGTACTCTGACTATCAATAGCAGCCTAACAAAGACCATCACTAGCAGATAAGTCTTCTTCTTTATTGGTTTGAGAAGATGAGTACATTTAAAAATCAATCATTGTACCAGTAATGGTACTGGAGATTCTGTATATTAATTGTGACTTTTGTGTTTTCTTTTGATCTTAGTAATTTTATAAATCTTGGATAAACTTTTTTGCTGCTTTATTATGGAGTTCTGTTATGCTTTAGAAGCATAAGTTTTAGTTTTCTGCTTTCATGAGATAGTCCTGAAATTCTAATTTGTTTTTAGTTACTAGTCATTGTTTTGTCCAGTTCTCTAGATAGTTCCCTATACAGACTACTTTTTCTGTCTTTGTGAGTTTTTCCAATTATTTTTTGTTCAGAAAATCCTTTAAGTCCCCATTTTTAAAAGATCAATTTCAATATAGTCCTCTAATTGTTGTTGTTGTTAAGTGCCATTGAGTCAGTTCTGACTCATAGGGACCCTGTATAGGGTTTCTAAGGAGTGGCTGGTAGATTTGAACTGCTGACCGTGCAGTTAACTGTCCAGTGCTTATCCTACAGTGCCATACCAGGACTCCAAAAATGTGTTAACTGTCTTTGCTTAGACATTAAAACTATAGCTCCAAGCAATTCGACCCTATCTTTGGACAGATTCTTTGTGGGCTTCACCATGTTTATACTTATTTATATCTATAGGAATCATGGTGTGGTTCTGTAGGATAAGCACTGGACTGTTAAGTGCAAGGTCAGTAATTCAAATCCACCAGCCACTCTTGGAAACTCTGTACAGGATAGTTGTGAGTTGGAACCAAATGAATGTCATTTATCAAAAACAAGTATTTCATATTTTTCTAGCACATGTATACTCTATTTTCTTTCTTTAATGATCAAGTCTGTCTTAAAAGTTAAATATTGTTTTATCCGATATTTTATATGTTTGTGAAAGTGAGTTGGTTGGTTAGTTATGTGCCCTGGAGTCGGTTCCAACTCATGGCGATCCTGTACAGGGTTTCCTAGGCTGTAAATCTTTACAGGAGCAGAAAGTCTCATCTTTCTCCTGCAGAACAGCTGGTAGTTTCCAACTGCTGACCTTGAGGTTCACAGCCCGATTCGTAACCACGAGGGGGAGAAATAGGAGGACAAAATCCTTATCAGATTCCTTTACCATTTTTTCTGGAAGTTAAGCAGATCGATGCAGTTACAGTCTTGTGACTGTGAGGTGGCGGATCATCATTATAGGTGGTGTTTAGTACTATGACTCAGGTTTTTCTTCTCTGCTAAATTAGTTGGATTATATTAAATTGATCTAGTCCCATTTGACCTAATTCATTGTTTTTGCTGCTGTTGTTTTGGATCATTTAAGACTCACTGTTACATTAAACTGATCTAGTCCCATATGACATAGTATTTTTGCTATTGTTTTACAGATGCAAGGTTTCAAAACTAATGTTGAAAAGAAAAAGACCAAATTTAGGAAAAGTAACAGGTATGCTCTTTAAAATTAAGAAATAGTATGATAAATTTTATCTCTCCTATTTTCTTCATAGAAGGAGCTCTGGTAACGTAGTGGTTACGAATTGGGCTGCGAACCTCAAGGTCAGCAGTTGGAAACTACCAGCTGCTCCGCGGGAGAAAGATGAGGCTTTACAGCCTCGAAAACCCTTTTCAGCTACCAGCTGCTCCGCGGGAGAAAGATGAATATTTACAGCCTCGGAAACCCTTTTCAGGGTCGCTATGGGTCGGAACCGACTCCATGGCACTTAACAACAACAACAACATTCTCTTCATATATATAGAGAGAGAGGAGTCCTGGTATGGCGCCTAATGAACTGGACTGCAAGGTCAGTTTGAACCACAAGGTCGGAAGTTCAAGCTCACCAGCCACTCTTCGGAAACCCTGTGCAGGGTCGCAGTGACCTTGCACAGGGTTTCCGAGGCTATAAATATTTACAGGAGCAGAACACCTCATCTTTCTTCCGTGGAACTGCTGGTAGTTTTGAACTGCTGACCTTGAGGTTGGCAGCCCGACTCGCAACCACTATGTTACCAGAGCGCCTTATATATGTGTATATACACACACACACACACACACACACACATATATGCATACACATACACAAAGGGCATCAAATGAAAATATGAATTTAAATGATAATGAATTTTTTTCACAAACTTTTTGAAGTTTCCTCATTTATACAAGGCTAAGAAGTGAAAAAAGTATTGCTATAAAATCAATGTCATAGAAATCTTTACTTAACAAAAATGTGAAACTATTGTTTCTCAGCATATCCTCCATCTCAGTCGATGCACTTCTAAAGGCAGTGTTTTCATCTCTTACCCAAAGAATTCTGCATTCTTCAATTTATACCATATCAAAATGGCAGTTTTGACATCCTTGAGGGATGTATTCATATTCATTTTCAATGTTCTTTGAGTTTGGGGAACAAAATAAATCTGAAGGAGCAACATCAGGGTGTAGGGTGGATGGCATAAGGTTTCCCAAGAAAATTCTTGTATGACAGCCATTGCTTACCCTCAAAGAATAAGCATTGTCTTGGAAAAAAATAAATAAAACATAATTTCTTGCCACACCTTTTTTTCACAAATGCAGTTTTTACTTTCTTAAGTCTTCTTCCATATTAGCCCCATGGTTGTCCTGTGTCCTTCAAGACAGTCTATCAAGACAATCTCTTTGGAATACTTCCCCCAAATAGTCTCCATAACCTTTTGGGCTGATGTCTGTGCTTTGAATTGTATTGGTCCAGCAGATGCCCTCAGAAGCCACTGTTTGTGTTTGGATTGAATCTTTTTTTTTTAAGAAACCCAAATGAAAGTAAGACAAGTTTGTCTGCTGCCATCCACTGATCACAAAGACATGTTTAAACAGGTTTTGTTTGGATTAAACCTGTGCATGTATTAACTGGAAACCTAGTAGCAATATGTTTTGACTTACTCTCGTGTAATTTAACTATTAAATTACATCTGCTCTCTGATTCTCATGTCTGTTTCTCTAGGGAAACATTGCATTTAAATTTTTCTAAAAGAATTAATATGGTAAGTAATAGCATTACAAGTATGTCAGAAGTTTTGTATTTATAGAAATATGTTGAACCAGAACTTTCAGTGATTTTTATTATGGGAGCAATCAGATGAGAAGCAAGTGGTTAATTTAAAATAGGTAACACAGACCAGAAATAGCCCTTAATGATGAACTAATAAGCCACTGATGACAAGTCATTGTTTATCAGTGAACCAACCATGTCGTTTATTTACTCACTTATTTTTTAATGAATGGTAATTAGTGCTATGTTCAAAAAGAAGACTGGCACTAATAGTTATTTCTACTACTTTGTCATTTTCAGAAGATGAATGCATTTTTATAAACAATTTTTACAGCTTTATCTCAGTTACATTTCACAGTAATCCCCCAAAATACATTGGGGGCACATGATAATTATTCCCATTTACCAGATAAAGAATGTGTGATGTAGAGAAGTCATTGTTTCAAGATTTCATGGTTAGAGCAATTGAGTTTGAACATGTCATCTGGTTCAGTCAGCAACATGGCATAATGAAAAAAACAGGGACTTGCAGTTTGGAAGAACCAAGTTCTGTCATGCTCATCCATTTTTCTGTTTTGGAAATGTTTCCATTTCTTTGAACTTCAGTTTCTTTATCTATAGAGTGAGAGTTGCTGTTGTGTTTAAGTGCCGTTGAATTAGTTCCAACTCATAGCAACCCTGTATAGGGTTTCTGAAGAGCAGTTGGTGAGTTTGAACCACAGACCTTGTGGTTCAAACTGACCTTGTAGTCCAATGCTTATCCTACAACACCACACCAGGACAAATAAAAACCACTTTTTAGGTGATTTGTAGGGAGGATCACATGAAATAGCCTATGTTAGGGGTTTAGTATATTGATAGTGCTTTAGGCATTGTGTACCTCTCAAATTAGTGTAAGTTCTCTTGGATTTTTTTTTTTTTTTTTAACATTGCTTCATGCTGCCTTACTTACTGTTTAAAATAATCCCCCCAAATGAAAAAATACCTCAAGAGAAATAAAATCTACAATTTCAAATGAATATACATGAATGGTTATTTAAATATACGTGATTGATTTTTTGAAACTAAATCTGTCAAATTCTTTTTCTAGGAAAGCTGTTTTAAAATGCTCTTTTGAAAATGTTTGTTCAGATGATGCCTTATCAAAGGAAAACATGGGTATGTGAAGGCCTGTCTTACTTTTAGCTCTTTTACCTCTATTTAATTTCACAAAAAGTGCTAGTAATCATTTGAAGGGGACAAAAAGCCTTGACTATAACAATATATGAAAATTATTAGCAGACAGTGTCGGTATACTGGCACTTTTGAATTGTTTTTAGCTTTTTATCCCCACAAATTAAATTTTATCTGGCTTTGTCATATATTTAATTTCAATTTTTTAAGTTGAGTGAATTACTCACCACCCTATCATCCACTGCTATTGTGTTGATTCCGACTCATAGCAACCATGTACAGAGTTTCAAGGTTGTAAATCTTTCTGGGAACAGAAAGCCTCATTCAAGGAGCAGGTGGTTGTCTTGAATTGCCAACTTTGCAATCAGTATTCCATTGCTTATCCTACAGCACTACCAGGTCTCCTAGTGAAGCCCTAATGAGATTTATAGCAGCAGTTATGGCAGGAAATGCCAGCAACAATATATTCCCATCTAGACCTCTCCATTCCAAACTTACTAGGTTTGCGAAGTGAGAGAACTGAGAAAAGCAGCAGCCTGGGCCTTCCAGTTGAATTGATTGGCATTAGTATTAGAGCACAGTAGGGTGAATGTCGAATGCAGAGACAGTTTTCTCAAAACCGATTTACTTTTCCTACATTTTCAATAGTATTGAAAAGCAAGCAAATGCGTAGTTATGAGATGGAACATTGGCAACTTTGCAAAGAGGTTTCAAAGTCCATTAAACCCTGAGGAATTACTAGTGCCATATCCCCTCTCCATTGCAGCCTGCCCTAGATCTTATGGCACTGCTTTTCAATTAGCTAAATAAGTCATTCGTTTATAGTCTCATTAAAAGAAAGGAAAGCAGGGCGAGGAAGAGCGGATGGAATATACTATTGTTGTTGTTAAGTGCCATTAAGTTGCTTCTGACCACTCAGTGACCCTGTATAAGGTTTCTGAGGAGTGGCTGGTACATTTGAACTGCTGACCTTGTAGTTAGCAGTCCAGTGCTTATCCTACAGCACCACAACAAGGTTCCAGAATACCCCATAGTACCTTTAAGTTCCCTGCCTGGTTTTCTTGAGATTTCATGCTTAGTTCTTGAGACCTGCCATGACTCTTTTGGAGTCCTAGGGTGATGTTATAGGATAAGCACTGGACTGCTAACCTCAAAGTTGGCATTTCAAATCCACCAGTTACTCATCAAAATCCCTATATAGGGTTTCTGAGTCAGAACAGACTTGATGACATTTAACAACACAACAGTAACATGACTCTCTGGAGAATTTGGATGTATGATCTAGAACTTACTTTCAGGCTGTACATATTACCACATACAAATGCAGTGATTTGAGCCATTCAAAATACCCCCTACCAAGGTCTATTTTATTTTCTGTTAGTTTAACTTCTCCCTCCCTTTGCGAAAAACTAAAGAACAGGAACGTCTTAATCTACGTCTATTTTGCAAGAGCTGACACTCTTTCTGAAAGGCTTTTAATCCCCTACTACCAGCTGCTCCTTGAAGGAGCTGGTTTCAGTGCCTGTTAGGACTTTAGGGCAGCTGGGGGCAGGATGGCTGCTTATGAGGGAGTCCTGATGTAGTGCTGTAGGATCTGCATTAGACTACTAACCACAAGGTTAGCAGTTCAAACCCATCAGCTGCTCCTCAGAAATCCTATACAGTGTTACTGAGTCAGAACCAACTCAACAGCACTTAACAACACTATGACAACAACCCATATTTCTGGAACTCTCGTGGCACAGTGACTAAGCGTTAGGATGTTAATAGAAAGGTTTGAGGTTTTAACCTATCTGCCACTCCACAGGAGAAAGATGTGGTGATCTGTTTCTGTAAAGATTTACAGCCTTGAAAACCCCGTGGGGCAGTTCTGTTCTGTCCTGTACGTCACTCTGAGTCAGGTCCACTGGACGGCAGCCAGTGAGTTTGGGTTTACTCATACTATTTTGGGTCCTTCTATTCTGCTTCTGATAACATTCCTTTTTAGCTTAAACAAACAAACAAAATAATAATAATCCATGGCCATCAAGTTGATTCTGACTCATACTGACCCTGTATAGGGTTTGTAAAACTGTATCTTATTGTTGTTATTCTTAAGTATTGTTGAGTCTGTTCCAACTCATAGCAATCCTTACAGGTTTCCTGGAACATATAGTGGGTTTGAACCACAAACCTTGCAGCTAACAGTCCAGTGATTATCCTATAGCACCATACCACGACTCGCTATTTAGAGACAAAAAAAATGTATCTATCATGAGGAGATGATAATAATAATGATGAAGATTACCAGCACTATTATCACTCCCAATTTATCAAGGCACTTGAGAGAGTATGCAAGGGGGCTTCAAAAAATTGATGGATAATTTCCATTATTTTTAGTTCAATTTTTCATGAACTTTTTGAAAATCCTTCCTATGACTTTTCCAAGGATACACAGCTTCTTAATAGTAATCAAAGTGTGTGGTATTTCCTTGATTGCTGGAGCACAAGTAAGCTTAAAGCTAATCGTATGCTTTGGGGGAGGTACATTCTTAGTTGGCCTTAGCATTTTAAAAAATCCATTGCCCTTCGCAACCCCCTAAATTAATTGACTGCACTTTCTTTCAGTCTTTGAGTTGTTTTTGTTTGTTTGTTGCTTTACTGTGTCATTTTTTTCTGTGGTAAGATGCCTCATTTCTCTTTGGGGGTAAACAGTCTATAAATAAAAGTTCTAATAAATACTAACTTCTTACCTAGGATCAACTAATAACCTATTAACATCCGTTATTAAATAAGCAAGAATATTTTTATCAGTTGCTCCAAACAGGTAAGCTTAGAAGAGGATGGTTAACATATGAAAGAACTCAGATATATGATGAGCCCTCAGGGAGTGTAAAGGCCTGAGCCTTGGGTCTAGAGAATAGGTCCTATCTGGTCACCCACCTTCCCTGGGTTTGGAGTTACAAAGGTAGGGTTTTTCCTTCTCAAATGTACTATGCCTCCTGTTTCTGCTTGTTGTTGTTAAGTGTCTTCAAGTGTGTTCCCACTCATAGTGGCACTATGGGAGAAAGCACTGGACTGCAAGATCGGTTTAAACTGCAAGGTCAGAGGTTCAAACTCACCAGCTGCTCCTTGGAAACCCTATACAGGGTCACTGTAAGTCAGAACCTACTCAACAGCGCTTAAAAACAGCAACAACATAGGGTTTCCAAAGCTGTCAATCTTTTTCTGGAACAGAAAGCCTCATCTTTCTCCTGCTGAATGGCTGGTGGGCTCAAACTGACTACCTTACAATTCACAGTCTACTATGTATCCTACAGAGCCACCACACTCCCCTATTTGTGTTAAGTATTTATTTATTACAAATGAACCTGTATTTTATTAATCTCTACATTTAAATTGTGAGCATACAGAGCTTAAAAACGATGTTCTTCTTGAACTCCTCCACTTTTAAAATGCTCCAGTATTTAAGCATTGACACAGCCCTTCTAATTTAGTTAAGGGTTTTGTCTTTTTTTCTCAATGCCAGCTTTGGGGTAAACCAATCTGTAACCACTTTGTATAATGAAGGGAATGGTCTCTTAAGTGGTTTAATATAAACATAGAAGTTAAACAAAAATATACATTTGGCAGTTTTAAATAGTGAAATGCTGTTGTTGCTATTGTTAATGCCATAGAGTCAGTTCCAACTCATGGTGACCCTATATAGGGTTTCTGAGACGTTTTCAATCTCCGCAAGAGCAGAAAGCCTCAATTTTCTCTGATGGAGAAACTGGTGGGCTCCAAGTAACCAATTTGTGGTTCACAGCCTAGTGCTTATCCCTCAGAGCCACCACACTCCCCAAATAGTGTAATAGTAACAGAAACTTTGAGATTAACAGTGACTTATTTCTTATCACAAATGAAAATTGATTGATATTTTTTTTCATGCATTGATTTGTAAAAGCTAGATTCGGACTTCAGTATTACAAAATTTGTTTTCCTCCCATTTTCTCTTTTTACTTTCTTTGAATGATGGAGCAGCAGCTGTAATGATACCACATTACTTTCAAAACTAAGTTACGAAAGTTGGTGAAACTACAGGATAAGCAGTAATGATAAATGATTGGCCATGCAGTCAGCAAAGGCATTCGTTCTGCATCTTTGGAAGATATCATTACCCAATTTTGATAACCTAATTTACGGATTACAGGAACTTCTGTATGTTGAGGATTATTTTTGAATTCTATCAATTTGCAATATGTTGTTGTTGTTGTGTGCCATGGAGTCGGTTCTGATCCATAGCAACCCTGTAAAGGGTTTCGGAGGCTGTAAATCTTTAAGGGAGCAGAAAACCTCATCTTTCTCCTGTGGAACAGCTGGTAGTTTCAGACTGCTGACCTGATTCGTAACCATTATGCTACCAGAGATCCTTAATTTGCAACATAGGAATGCCTGTTTAGAAAAGCAAACTTCCCATTGCTCTGGAAGCAAAATTTCACTTTAGTTAAGTTGGTGCTATGAAGTTGGTTGATTTATGAAGTCATCCATTACTTCGTCTACTCTTTGATCACTTGAAACCAAAGAGCCTACAATACTGTTCAACAATGACATTCATTATCATAAATTGATTGTCTCCTAGCCTCGCCTTAGAAATATAAAGATGTTTGTGCACCATTTTTCTTTTACAGCATGACTGAAAAATCCATCTTCTAACAGTGTATTAAATGTCAGTGCCAATTTCCACAGACTCAGAATGTAAAGTAGGGAAACACAGAATGAGTGGGACTGGGGAACCAGTGTACAGATAACCAGTAGTTGTCTATTAAGTAGCAGGTTATTAAATAAGAAATGTCTTATTTATTAAGGAAATTCATTTCATTAATAAAACTGCTTCAAAATAAAAAATGCATTCCTTTAGTAAACTCTGATACAGTAGATATGGCATTTTATCCATGTTTTCAAAAGGAATTCTCCAGCCAACAATTTTGAATATCAAGGTTCTAGACTCTTATCAGATCAGACTC